GAAATTCCCTTTTTCCAATCCAACCCTAAAAGTTCGTCAGCCCCCGTGAGTGGTAGTGTTGCTCTTCGGCTGAGCCGGCGACAGGGAGTTGGTGAGACGATGTATGGAACCATGTTACGGTGGTAGCGGTAGCTTATTTCAGGCCAATTCCAACAGAACAGGGTCGTCACCCGAAAGCTGCACTCTAAGTTTAGGAATCCGCGCTCTTGTAATATATAATTCGCGAATTTCGGGCGCTTCCCAAAAAATTCGCTATTTAGCGATCTAGAGCGGGAGCGCCGGTGAGATATAGGCGAATTGGGTTACCTAAATTAGGAGTCGTTTCGATGGAGTATTTGAGTGACTTATTTGAACACAACTTAAATAAATTATTTACAAATAACTCGTACCCCATGTTATTTCGAAATAACTCATTTTACCACTCTATTTTAGCCAAATACCACAACCCAAATATCACATGTGAATAGTTCTACCAAACGAGATACTTTAATATAATTTTTAAGGAACTTGGTAGCAAAACCCAAGTCACTACACCCCTGTAGAGCTACACACTAAAACCACCCTGCCGCATAACAACCAGTAGCGCCCCAACTCAAGCAAAGACACACTTAACATATGCTACAAGCATGCAAACATTCACTTAACAAGCATTCATAGAAACTTTGGTTCACACCTGAGTGAATAATCTACTCTTTAAACTTCCAATCCACGCCTCTATCAGCCTTTCCCGCACTTACAAGCCAACTTGATATGAGACTTCCAGCTCTATAACACACACCAATTTAGCAGATGAAAATTTAACCTCGAAAGCTCATGAATTTCTTTCTTTCCATAAACTCCAACAGGCAGCATGGCTATAATTGATTTTGTTGATGAGGGGTGTACTACAGTTAGCCACTTCTAACAAATTTAATGAAAAAAAGGTAATTAATGGCTATAATTGTCTATTCTAACCAGTTGTTTCTCTCTGTTGTGCCCTCTGTTCGACATCATCAAGAATAACATTACAATCTTGAGTCAAAATCGACGCGCAGATCTTCACCCTCTGCTTAACATGCCAGTACCTCTTTCCCCAACCTTCAAACTTGCACAAGTCCATTCCACTGCCTTCCCACTCCTCCACGAACCGCAACATGTACACCGCGCAGGCTTTGGAGTCGAGGGGCTGACAGGGGACTGCCGGGAAACTCCACCTGAACCCTGAGAAGTCTACTATGTCGTCCTGTCGTCGTATCGAATTGATGTACGTAGTTACGTACTTCACGGTTCTCTTGCATAAGGTATCCACGTCCGAAAATGCTGCTCTTTTATCGCTGCAGCCGCTGTCCAGATACTCGAAGCGTGCCTTGTTGATGTTTATGACAACTGCGCTCGCATGTTCTTTAGTACTTATGGGGATGCACCACTGCCATAACAGATATATGAAGTATTGTACATATAATTAAACTCATACACATATGCATGTCATCTTCACAGAAACTAACCTCTGATAACTTACAAGTTCACATTTGTTGACATCAATGTCTCCCTGTGGTAGGTACGACATGTTCGACAGATGCTTTCTTACTCGATCGATCAAGGAAGCATCGTCGCTGTCCGCATCTCCTTGATTCTCGATATCTTTCTGAACATTGATTAAACACACCATCAAAGTTACCAACCTTACATGAACTACATACTCCTGTAGTGGCAGAATTTATACGAAATGTTTACCACAAATTCGGCCCGGAAGATGAACTTTTTGAAGGAAGCACTACTGGCTTGCATGGAGCTCTTGTTCATGTGGTCGATTAAGAGGTCATACATCATATTGGACACACCCGATTTCCTGACGAATCGTCTAAAATCCTTCCGTCTCCAGATCTTTTTCTTCTCAGCATCTTGAAACAAAATCTCCTTACTGTTGTAAATATTAAAAAAAAAAAACCTAACTTGATCTGTAATTCAATGCACTTGGATCTTAATCTTGTCTGTTACTCCTACGAAGGACTGATCATGGAAGATTCCAACTTACGATGGGAGCTTAGAATCCAATGCATATCTCAGAATATTCTTATGTTCCATGCTCGACTCGACATGGTCAGCAATCAACGCGGACACACGATTTGACTCTGCAATATTATCAAAATGAAGTAGTGAAGACATGTCTCAGAATATCTAATTGCAGCTTATTAGTAAAAAAAATAGGCAATCCTGAAGTTAAACCTCTCAGCTCCAGGAACACAGAAAATTACTGTGGATGGGAAAACAATGCTCTTTTTCTTACCAAAGATGTTCACGCAGCTGATGAGTAGGTCCATAGGAAATTAGCAAGGACGAAAGTTTGTTTACCAACCAGAAGAAGAAGAAGAAGAGATGCGGTGGCTACAGAACCAAAAACAGAGTAATGCTGAAGAAACAGAGTTGCATGCGTTCTCATAAAGCTATATAGCTTTAACTAGTCCTTCTGGTACTGGGATACGGAAAACTCTAGAAGAGGCAGACAACTAAAAGGGAAAAAAAGAACAAAAGATTTCGAGGTACTTCCGCTTCTTTCCCATTCTGGCGCTCTTTGTTTGACCTGAGGTTCTAGCAGATCCTTCCGTCTCCGATCCAGATCCTTTCCTTCTCCGCGTCTTGAAAGAATAATACCTCCTCGCTGTTTCAAATGAAAATCGTTACGGTTTCAGTAGTTAGAAAAAAGGAGGTACCATTTACTTCACAAGTTCGTCTATCTGTAAGTTGTCCTATATATAGTCCTAGACAAAAGGTGGTGTGAAATAGAGATTGATGACTTGATCGAGGAAGGAGACAGAAGAAGAGACGGCATCTAACTAACTATGAACCTGCCGCCTAGGTAACCGAGAACAAAGTTACGTTCGTTTAAAGTTTCGGCATATGTAAAGTATTTATAAAAAAAATAACTTATAGGCAGCGGACCGTGGAGGTGCGGCGGTTTGGCTCGGATCTGTGAGGTGGCGAACAGTCAATCTCATTGCAGCAACCCCACGCATTTTGCAAGCGGCAGGAACAGAAACCGCAACACCCCCTACGGTCCTTGTTTAAACTGCCATGGGGATGCGGTCCTTGTGAAACGGGGGTAATGATGGAAATTTTTGGAAAAAGATAGTATTTTTGAAATTTTTTAGTTGTGTGTGGTATATTGGGGAAATTCCGTTGATCTATTTACATCGTTGCCATCAGCCGTGTGTCTCACCTTTATCATATTCCACTTTCTTCACTCTTGTATTATAGAAGGAATATCATCCTTATCTTCGCCATTCACAGATTAAAATTGACTATTAAATTGTATGTGAAAAAAATTGTTTCTTTTTTTCTCACTTTGACGGTGATGTGGATCGATGTGGGATGATGATATATGTAGGGACCGTTTGGAGGTTGTGATTCTCTCAATTGATGAATTCTATCAATGTGTGTGCTATCTAAATTGATGTTTTGGGAATGGTTGTATTTGACACATCTCTTGTTTAGAGGTGTAGATTGTGCTTTTCACATATCTAAAAAAAAGTAATATATGTTTTCGATTTAAAGACATATTTGTCATTCATTAATTCCTTTCTCCAAGGAGTGAGGAGCAATGAATGAGGGTAATGTTGGAATAAACAAAAAAATAGAAGGGACAAAAGTGGAATTTAAAAATAGACAGGTAATCATTCGTTTACAATGTCAGCTTTAGATAGAGATTGTTAACCCTTCATTTTGAGGAATTAAAGGTAGGCTTTTAAAAAGTAAATACATGTATTATAACTCAATTTAAACAAAAAAAAAAAGACTAAATATAAGCATTACACGTATTGGCTAAGTACAACACTTCAAATCACAACCTCCAAACGACCACGTAGTTTTGTCCATGACATTGTTTATAGTAAGTGATTGTGGTTATAAGTTTGTAATGTCACCAAAAGCTTGGCTATGAAATTGTCATTCCAATAGGTTTGCTTATTAGATTGAATCATTCAATAAATTACTCTCTCACCGCAGCAAGCCAGCAACCCATATACACTGCCGTAAATATTCTTGTTCAAGTTTATGACGCCACCGTGACTCTAATATCAAGAATAATTATTCCCTTAAAACCCTTTCTATATCCCTGACACTAACTGAGAGTCTGAGACAAGAGGACAAATGCAAGTAGAAAGCATAGTTAGTAAAATATGATACGGGAAAGTTACGTATAAAATATATATGGATATTTTACTTCGTCTCTAACCGAATGTTACGTTTAATAGTACGTTAGTAGTCATGAATATTAAAAAAAATAATTATTATAAAATTAAATAAATATATAAATAATAGTAAATTTAACAATTTAATTCATTAAATACGGATATTAAACGTGTTATACAGGTTTTATACGCGTTTACTACGGGAGCCATCAAATAAACGAAAATAAACGAAGCAACGTGACAATAATACGAATACGAAAGTTATAAACGGATAAAATACGTACTGGTACATATACGTGTATTAAACGGAGTATTTACTACCTCTCTTTCGCTCTTTTAACCTCCCCTCATTATCTCGTAAAAACAAGTGAAAGTCCAAGAAACAAAACGGCGGCATAGCAAAAACAATCCGCCCGCTGTCTCTCACCACGAGTCCTCCGCCACTCTCGTGCCCTCTGTCCGACCTTGTCAAGAACAGCGTTGGAGTCTTCATCCTCCAGAATCGACGCACACATCTTCGCCCTCTCCTCAACATGCCACGACTCCTCCTCCCAACCTTCGAACCGGCACAGATCCTCGCCGCCGTTCCACTCCTCCAGGAACCGCAGCCTGTACACCACGCAAGCGCCGGAGCTCCAAGGCTGGCAAGGCACCGGAGGGTATCTCCGCTCGAATTCGGCGAAGTCGATCACCGTGCCGCCGCCGCCTTGTCGCCGCCGCAGGGAATTGATGTACGTGGTTACAAGCTTCAACATCCTGTCGGGCAGATCACCCATTTCTTCGAAGGATGTTCTCTTGTCGGGCCCGCCGCTGTCCAGATATTCAAAACAAGCTTCCTTGATGTTGATTACAATTGCCGTGGCATGGCAATCGTAAGATATGGGTATGCACCACTGCAAATTATTTTTAAAAATACGAGTCGTTATATCCAACGATCAGATGACTTGGAGTATGGTATAATTCATGAGTATATCATTCGCTACCTTAAGAATATATGATTATTAGTTCCAAATTAGATGAAGTACATACGACCTTGTTACAAAACCCTAATACTCACGAGGTCACACTTGGTGGCATCAATCTTACTCTCTGCTAGGTAGTAGATGCTTGACAGATGCTGATCACATAGTTCAACCAAGTAAGCATCATCATCATTATCCTTTAGATCAATCTCAGCTTCTCCAATCACTAGATCCTGCATATATGCACATAATCAACACTCCATCATCAATGGCCAACCTAGCTCAATTTCATGAATTTTAGGTGCACATGTTGGCATAAAACAACGGATCTCAATCAATAATTCCAACCGAGAGAAGGTTAATTATGGATATTATACATATCACTCTCTTACACATCATCTCAAACGAAAGTCAACTCGAAAGCTGTCAAGAACCAGTTGATCCTAATAACTCGAGTTGTTGAGAGAAAGTTATACTGGATCTTATACCACTCTCTTACACGCCCCCCTCAAACGAAAGTCAATTCACGGGCTTGAAGTTTGCACAGGCCCACCATACCTTGTGCTTTAATCAACTGTTAATATTGCGGGTCGTGGAGATTCGAATACACAACCACTTGGCCAACCCAGCTCTGATACCATGTAAAGAAACCATTTGATCTCAATAATTCGAGTTGTTGGGAGAAGGTTATACTGAATCTTATACCACTCTCTTACGTACACAGGTTAACTAGATCTTGTGCTTTCATCGATCATAAATATTGAGAGTCTCCCAAATTTGACCTCACAATCAAATCAACTATAATATCATGTCACAAACCATCTGCTCAAAATAACTCGAACGGTTAGGTTTTTGATTAATCATGAATCTTATACCTTTCTCGTACACATGTCGATAGTACTCAAGCGAGTTGTAGTTAGGGTTTAATTACCGCAAGGGTGGTACGAAAGATGAACTTTTTGAAGTGCCCATCAGCCATTAGCGAGCTCTTGTTTATCTGGTCGAACCAGAAGTCAGACATTTCATCTGACACCCCAGATGTCCCAACAAGTTCTGTGAAGTCCTTACGCTTCCAGCAGGTTGTTCTGCACCTAGCATCTTGGAACAAAACCTCCTCCCTAATTTATAATGCGACACAGTAAATGGCGTATTCAGTACCCGATGTATATGCATATGCAACATTGAAATATATAGCTAAGAAATTTCGTTCCAACTTACTGTGAGAGCTTATAATCCAACGCATATTCCATTATCTCGTCATGTTCTGTTTTCGGCTCTGCAGTACGGGCGGCGGAAAACAGGCAGCTGATGGGTAGGCCCATTGGCGTGCATGCAGAACAATAATTGCATGCGACGAGAAAAGAAAAGAATGGAAGAAAGATCAGGCGAAAGTTCGTCGACGAGAATTGGCCGGCGTCGCCGGCCGCCGGCAAGCTAGAAGGAGAAAAGAAGGAAATCACGAGGGAATTGGGCTTATAGAGTTTGGGTATCACTTAAAAAGTTGTGGCTACTTTCCCTAGTTCATCTAGGATACAAATTGTTGGTCTGCGTACGTCTAATGTGAGACGGAAATTGTTGACTCGGCGTAGTGGGAATGTGGAAAACTCCACTTGTGGACCAAGAGTTGAAACGGTTTAAAAATTAAAACCCGGGGCAATAGGGTCCTCTTTAATCCGACCGGACCGGTTTCCACCCGTACTAGATTTCACGGACTTGATACGAAGAAAAAACAGCTCTAAAGATAATCCAAATATGTATGGTCTAGAGGTGATGGATTGCGGATTGCATTGGTGAATATATGGATAAAATGGATTAATGGATTCGATTATGCATACATCTAAACATTGGACGAATATGTAAATTTTTAAAACTTCAGGTACTAAAATATCATAATAAAAAAAATTTAGTTAACAAAACTTAATTTTTCAATGATACTTTACGTAAAAAAATAGTTATCAAAATATAAAATACAAAAATATATCGGTACTAAACTATTTAGTTAGATAATTAAGTGGATGGATTGGATTGGTGGATTGAGTACAACATTTACACCTCTATGTATTCATGTTGTACTTCGAAATATAATTATGTTACTAATTTTTTTGGAGCGCGTTGACATATAAAGAACAAATTTTTTAATTATGAGTAAGAGATTTTCTTTCATAAGAAGAAGGGAAAATTAAAACTGAACGACCAAACGTCGGCTTAATTTAACTATTATCACCTTAACTTAAAAACACAATTGCTAAATTATCCTTCATTTGTAAAAAAAAATCAAACAAACAAACAACCCTAAAACCCTAATGTTAGGCTTTATAGTTGATGTACGAAGTAGGAACGTTAACCACAAAGCTCCGCGTCATTAAACCGAGCCGTCCACGTACAAATTAATAGATACAAACAAGTCCCCATATTTACATAGTTTAACCGTCTTAATGTTAAATTGGATGGTAACCACCATATTGGATGGTCACCATACTTCGACTTGATGGTATCATCAAGTTGGAATCCATGAATATGAGATAGTACTATCCACTTAGAGATTGGATGATATCCATTATGTGATATGGTAACCATCCACTTAGCGGTTGGATGATATTCATGATATAGGATGGCCACGAACCACTTTGGAATTGGATGGTATCTATGGAACTGGACAGATGGTAATCAAATGTTGGATGATTTCCTCGCACGTAACTAATATTCACCAAAGTACGACGCACTCAGACAAACTGATATGTGTGGGTCCAACTATATAAAACGGGCCAACCATCCTAAATTAAAATAGTTCATGTTATATTTTACAGTATTTTTAAAGGCGAGCCGTGCCGGCCGATCAAACCGATAAAACCGGCACTAGGACGCCAGATCGGCTCCGAACACTCTAAAAGTCATAACGATCAAAAAAGATGATTGGTAAGCGATCTAAACGGGTAACCGTTCGAACCATTCAAACCGACCAACTGGTTCTCATTCCAACCGTCCAATTATAGGAACATATTTCTTTCTAATTAATTCAAACATCGGGACAGGGGACGCGCGTGGGGTTGGGAAATTGCAGTGATCAATTCCTTCCATTTTCCCGACTCAAAGCCCAAACGCCAACTCTTCTGTTGGAAGCTGTATTACAACAAATTTTTATGAGAGAAGGTTAATTATGGATATATATATATATATATATATCACTCTCTTACCCATCCTCTCAAAGTAAATCAACTCGCGGGCTATCAAGAACCAGTTGATCCCAATAACTCGAGTTGTTGGGAGAAAGTTATACTGGATTTTATACCACTCTTTTACACACCCCTCAAACGAAAGTCAATTCACGGGCTTGAAGTTTGCACAGGCCCACCATACCTTGTGCTTTAATCAACTGTTAATATTGCGGGTCGTGGAGATTCGAACACACGACCACCTGACCAAACCAGCTCCGATACCATATCAAGAACCAGTTGATCCCAATATCTCGAGTTGTTGGAAAGAAGGTTATACTGGATCTTATACCACTCTCTTACGTACACAGGCTAACTAGACCTTGTGCTTTCATCGATCATAAATATTGAGAGTCCCCAGAATTTGACCTCACAATCAAATCAACTATAATATCATGTCACAAATCATCTGCTCAAAATAACTCGAACAGTTAAGTTTTTGATTAATCATGAATCTTATACCTTCTCGTACACATGTCGATAGTACTCAAGCGAGTTGTAGTTAGGGTTTAATTACCGCAAGAGTGGTACGAAAGATGAACTTTTTGAAGTGCCCATCAGCCATTAGCGGGCTCTTGTTTATCTGGTCGAACCAGAGGTCAGACATTGCATCTGACACCCTAGATGTCCCAACCAGTTCTGTGAAGTCCTTACGCTTCCAGCAGGTTGTCCTGCACCTAGCATCTTGGAACAAAACCTCCTCCCCAATTTATAATGCGACACAGTACATGGCGTATTTATGAGTACCCGATATATGCATCTGTAACATTGAAATATATAACTAGAAATTTCGTTCCAACTTACTGTGAGAGCTTATAATCCAACGAGGGAATTGGGATTATAGAGTTTGGGTATTACTTATAAAGTTGTGGCTACTTCCCTAGTTCTAACGTGAGACCGAAATTGTTGACTTGGATAGTGAGAATGTGGGAAACACCACATGTGGACCAAGAGTTGAAACGGTTTAAGATCCGGGTTAATACGGTCCTCTTTAATCGGACCATACCGGTTTTCATCCCGGGGCTGCTAGTAAGTGCAATGGGGAAAGTTTTATCTATTCATAGTAGGTACGACCACCCTAGCTGACCCTCCCTTAATTCGAATACGGAAGAAGATCTCCTTCAACCCGCTTTTCTGCCTACGGCAGAGTTATAAACTATATCTATCACGGTGGAACTCTCAAAAAGAACTTTTGTAAGAAAAAAGGATGATTCTGGCCTCTGAGTGGACTTTAGCTTAATCATCCTTCTTTAACCCTCTTTCTCAGGTCTTACCCACTGGGTAACGAAAAAGTCATAAATCACGGAAATCCGCCTTTGTCAAGGTTTCAGTCTTGAGACGAATAAAAAAAAGTTCTAAAGATAATGAAAATATGTATGGCTTAGATCCTTGGAGTCTTGGACTCGATCCATGATCCAAGTGACATCTAAATATTGGACGAATATGTAAATTTTTAAAAGTTTTTGTACTAAAATATTATAATAAAAAATTTTAGTTACCAAAACTTAATTTTTCAATGATAGTTTACGTAAAAAAAATTAGTTATCAAAATATAAAATATAAAAAAGCATAGGTACTAAACTATAATTTATCAACAATTCATGAGTCCAATCCATGTCCATCAATTTAATTGAATTTGGATCAAATGAATTACATTTAAATGGAAGACCTGTCCGACCTTGTCAAGAACAGCGTTGGAGTCTTGATCCTTCAGAATGGACGCACACATCTTCGCCCTCTCCTCAACATGCCACGACTCCTCCCAATCTTCGAACCGGCACAGATCCGCGCCGCCGTTCCACTCCTCCAGGAACCGCAGCCTGTACATCGCGCAGGCGCCGGAGCTCCAAGGCTGGCAAGGCGCCGGAGGATATCTCCGCTCTAATTCGGCGAAGTCGATCATCGTGCCGCCGCCGCCGCAGGGAATTGATGTACGTGGTTACACGCTTCAACATCCTGTCGGGCAGATCACCCATCTCTTCGAAGGATCTTCTCTTGTCGGGCCCGCCGCTGTCCAGATATTCAAAACAAGCTTCCTTGATGTTGATTACAATAGCCGTGGCATGGCAATCGTAAGATATGGGTATGCACCACTGCACCCAACCCAACGATCAGATGACTTGGAGTATGATATATACTCCATGAGTACACCATCATATGTCACATTAAGAATATATGAATATTATTAGTTCCAAATTAGATGAAGTACATACGACCTTGTTACAAAACCCTAATACTTACAAGGTCACACTTGGTGGCATCAATCTTCCTCTCTGCTACGTAGTAGATGCTTGACAGATGCTGATCACATAGCTGAAGCAAGCATCATCATCATCATCCTTTTGATCAATCTCAGCTTCTCCAATCACTAGATCCTGCATATATGCACATAATCAACACTCCATCATCAATGGCCAACCTAGCTTAATTACATGATTTTTACGTGCTCATGTTGGCATAAAACAACTGATTTCAATCAATAATTCGAACGTGAGAAGATTAATTATGAACATTATATATATCACTCTCTTACACATCCTCTCAAACGAAAGTCAACATGTGCACGTAATTATGGATATTATATATATATATATGGTTATGTCTTCGGTGCACTCACTTTTTTGGGTGCATTCAATGCACCCGCCTCATAATCGTCATTCTGAGCAGGCGATTCATGTGAAAACGATGGCAATCATCCCTTGTAGTATGATGAACAAGAACCACATGAATTTTTACAAAAATCATTCAAGATTCACTTTAATTTGAATGATTCAGGGTTTAGGAATTTAGGGTTAGGGTTTACAATTTGGGATTTTGGGTTTATATTCAAAATTGAATGTTAATAGGTTAGGGTAATGGGTTGATTAGTTGTGATTCTGTGTTATATCATCATCTGAGACTAATACTACCCATTAAATTTCAAAATTTGATGTATTATGACCACTTTTAGATGTGGGTGCACTGAATGCACCCAAAAAAGTGAGTGCACCGAAGTAGCCACCATATATATATATATATATATATATATATGGCGAGTTCTATGGTACCCTGGGTGAAATTCGGGGTACCACATACCTTGAGTATGAAAACATTATCTAGACATTGAATTAACCGATCTTTCGGACATGATACTATACTCTAACCCTCACAGACTAAAATCTAGGTCTTAATTCTCCCAATCTTATACTCCAAGATCAATTTAATTAGAAACAATAATCAACGGTTATGATTTCTCCAAATATAGGCACGAAAAGGAATCCACCATCTTAGGGTTAATAGATTATGATTTAGATAATTAGGACCTAGGGTTCACTCATTAAGGGTTAAGGTATAATATAAGACCCAAAAATCCTGCTAATTCGAGGTCTAGATAGCGTCACCCAGGGTACCGTAGAAGCCACTATATATATCACTCTCTTACACATCCTCTCAAACGAAAGTTAACATGTGCACAATATTATATATTCTGGGGACTCTCATAATTTTACGTGTACATGCTAACTAGACCTTGTGCTTTCATTGATGGTAAATATTGAGAGTCCCCCGAATTTGTCCTCACAATCAAATCAACTATAATATCATGTCATAAACCATCTGGTCACAAAAACACGAACCATTAGGTTTTGATTAATTATGAATTCTTTAACCCTCTCGTACGTACACATGCCGATAGTACTCAAGCGAGTTGTAGTTAGGGTTTAATTACCACAAGGGTTGTACGAAAGATGAACTTTTTGAAGTGCCCATCCGCCATTAGCGAGCTCTTGTTCATCTGGTCGAAGCAGAGGTCAGACATTGCATTATGCACCCCAGATATCCCCACGAGTTCTGTGAAGTCCTTGCGCTTCCAGCAGGTTCTTCTACACCTAGCATCTTGGAACAAAACCTCCTCCCTAATTTATGATGCGACACAGTAAATGGCGTATTCAGTACCCGATATATGCATCTGTAATATTGAAATATATAGCTAGAAATTTCGTTCCAACTTACTGTGAGAGCTTATTATCCAACGCATATTCCATTAGCTCGTCATCCGTTTTCGGCTTTGCATCTAGCATGGTACGGGCGGCGGAAATCAGGCAGCTGATTGGTAGTCCCATTGGCGTCGTGCATGCAGAACAGTTGCATGCGACAAGAAAGAAAAGAGAATTGGCGTCGCCGGCCGCCGGCAAAGCTAGAATGAGGAAAGAAGAAAATCACGAGGGGGATTGGGCTATAGAGTTTGGGTATCACTTAAAATGTTGTGGCTACTTCCCTAGTTCATCTAGGATGCAAATTGTTGGTCTACGTCTAATCATGCGAGACCGAAATTGTTGACTTGGAGTAGTGAGAATGTTGAAAACACCACATGTGAATCAAGAGTTCAAAACGGTTTAAAACCCGGGTTAATAAGGTCATGTTTAACCGGACTGGACCGGACCAGTTTTCATGCTTACTAGATTTCATGGACTTGAAACAAACAAAAATAGTTCTAAAAATAATCAAAATATGTATGGCATAGAGGTGACAAATGGATTGGATTTATAGATTTGTAGATTCTGGATTGTATTGGTGGATCTATCGATAAAAAGAATTGGTGGGTTCATAAATTCGATCATGGATCCAAGTGACATCTAAAAATTGGAGGAATTAGTAAACTTATAAAAGTTCACGTACTAAAATATCATAATAAAAAATTTAGCTACCAAAACTAAATTTTCTTATGATACTTCAAGTAAAGAAAATTTAGTTATCAAAATATAAAAAATATAAATACTAAACTGCAATTTGCCAACAATCATTAATCCAATTGGATTACAATTTTTTTTGGTTAAATTAGGGGCTATTTAGTTAGCCACATTAGGAAAAAAAACTGACGTCATTAATGCATACTAATTAATTATAATAATTAGTGTCTAAACTTGAAGTGTTTAACAAGTCTTAGTAATCAACACATAATTAAATATTATACAGTGACTAAACATTACACTTTTTAGTAAACACAATAATAAATCTTCCAATTTACCCAACTAGAATCATTTGCCTTCTCTTGTGAGCCGCTTACCAGACCCACATTTATTGGGCCGGTTCAGTAACGACCTGAGCTCATTCTTCAGGAAATGAATGATGGGCTCCATGCTGCTTCCTCTGCCGCCGTCTCCACCTGCGGCCGGCGCGTGGGATTGACCAATGATGATTAGAGTATTCACATTGGTATTGCATTCTCAATTGCAAAATGACATGACACATGTGTTTGCAATTGTAAAATCAATTGTATTGATGTGCCTACCAATTGCATATTTGCAAACTTACAACAAATGCAATTCCATATGCAAGTAAAAAAAAGTAATAAAAAATCGTGATTTTTTATTATTTTCTTTTCTCTTTCATTTAATTTTCTATAATTTAAACATAATATTTAATTACAATTACGAGTTAATTACGATTACAATTTCTCTTAATTTGATCGCTCTCCGCCCGCACGCGCTTTGCATCTTCCTCTTTCCTCCATTATTTCTTCCTCCTTCCCGATAAAGAAACTGTGCCAATCTTCTTCCTTCGGCCTTAGCAATCAGCCAACCACTGAAGGCGGTTTCCTTTCCAAGCTATTGATAGCCGAATGAGTCCGTTGGATTCTTGACGCCAACATTTCATGGCATGTTTGTTTTTACTTGATTGTTAAATCGAAAATCCAAACCCTTGAATGTGGTATTTGGATTGGGAATGATCGATTGGTCAACTTTAAAGAGAGTTAGAGTTTCAAAATTGGATTGGGAATGATCGAGAAAGCTCTGGGAGTAATTGCGGCCTACTCCAAAGTGGGTTTTCTTGGTTGTCTTTTTCAGTAAGCTCAAAAAACTTGCATTTTTTTCCTTAACCTTTCCCGACCGATTCTTAGCGGGCAAGCAGAAACGAAATGTCCGATTACCTTCCCTTCGATGTCCTGACCAACATTCTCCTCCGCCTTCCCGTGGCCGCAATTCTGCGCTGCCGCAGCGTTTGCAAACCTTGGCGGGCTCTGGTCGACAGCCCAGTGTTCATCAAGCTTCAAGTAGACTACTCTGCCGCCACCACCAAAAACGCCATCCTCTTCATCCGCGAAGTAGATTTGTTCGAACTTGAACACGGCGACCTCCACTCTGCCCCCTACATCGACGGCCTCCGCCGCGAAGCCTCTCTCAGCATCGCAATCTCGCCTTCAGTTCCACGGGAGTGCATGAACCTATTCGGTTCGTGCAATGGGTTGCTCTGCTTCAGCGACGGCGACGAAAAGTTCATCATAACAAATCCAGCCACGCGGAAATCGTTCGTTCCCTCGCATTGCGTTTCCCACTGCAGCTTCGGACTCGGGTTCGACTCCCTTTCTAGCACAGGGGTTTACCTTACCGGATGCGGATTTGGGTATGATTCTGTCTCCGGCGACTATAAGGTCGTCGCAGTATACCGGATAGTTCATCGAACTGTTGGCCTTTCGGAACTGATTAGTTATGGGGTTGGTTCTAATTCAACTTTAACCGTTGATTTTCCTTATTCAATCCCCTTTCCTAATAGAGTAGGTTCGTCGATTGGTGGGGCGATTCATTGGATAGCTCGTGGGCATGACAATGTCGCAGTGATTGTTGGCTTTGATTTAGGGCTCAACCAATGCAGGGAAGTCCCACAGCCAGAGTACCCAAATGGGAAATCGTCGGACATGAGGCTTCGAGAGCTGGGGAAGTGTTTATGCATCTTCGCCAACTATAAGGAAAGGTTTGTGGATGTTTGGATGATGAAAGAGTATGGTGTTAAGGACTCATGGAGCATAATGTTCTCGATCCCATATCCCGGGTTGTGCTACAAATATGAGATCCGACCTCTCGGATTCTCCATGACGGGTCATGAGATTCTTCTCGAGTTGGATTGCACGAGGCTTGTTTGGTACGACCTGAGAAATCAGACTGGTCATGAGATTCTTCTCGAGTTGGATTACCATTCAACAAAGGAGGTTACCATCCATGGATTGGGTCAGGGGTTTATAAATGCCATTGTTTGCTATGGCAGCCTGGTTTCACCCGATTGCAAATTTCTCCCGGGCGGAAGTCGACAAGAAACATCAGCAACCAAGTCTCGAAAAGAAGAAGAGGTGGGCTGGTCTTTCCCCCTGCAATGTGTTTGTGCTGTTCAATACATATACCATGTGTCGATACAAACATTTACTAGCTACTGTGTTATTTGAATCTACAGGGATGATGTCTCCCCTACTGAGTTTTAGCTGACAGAAGGATGCAATGGAGTACGGATGATGGAGAGTGGTCTCCATTTTGAAGCTCGTTTCGCCATTCTGTTTCTGCGTACTGTCTATTTTTGGCACTTTCGGAAGCTCCAAATAGCATCAGATCAGAAGGATTGCACTAAGTAGTACTGCTGCAGTATGCATTGAATGTTTTGTACGTACTAAGTCATTTTTTAACCTTCCTTTCTTCATTCTTGCTTATCAATTGTATGTTGGAAACCTGTTTCATTTATCTGTCATTGCTGCTTGGTGAATGGCGTGCTTCCTTTCTCATGGATGATGGTTTTCTCACAATGATTCTACGACTTAACTACTAGATTAGATGTGTTCATGAGTTGGGAGATAAAGCGTCATGGACAAAAACAAACATAACTAATGGTTGCATTCACCGATTTTAACTTTTTAGGAATGATGGTGTTATAAACGCGCGGCTACGGATCAGGAAATTGCCGGAATCGACAAAGCAAGAATACGAAAGCGAAAATCGAAAAACACAGACACACGATTTACGTGGTTCACTAACACGATGTGTGTTAGCTACGTCCGCGGGCGAGAGAGAGCCAGTTTCACTATATCGAGCAGATTACAGATTACAGAGGAGTATGAGAAGTATTTATAGTACTTCTCCATGTGAGACCCCCGATTACCAGTCGTAGCGGCTGATAGTCCGATTCAAGTCACATCAACAAATCTCCACCTTGACTTGAATCCTCTTCCTCTGAAATCTCTGATGTACTCTGCTCCTTCTTTGTCTCTCCCGCCATCAATGCATCGCAGGGCGGAGTCACCCACTCAAAACATTCAGCAAGTCCAAGCAGTGTTAGAACTTGCCATGTGGAACCGGCTTCGTGAACATATCAGCAGGATTATCCGCGGTACCAACCTTCTTCACCTTAATCCTCTTCTCTGTCCTCAAGAAATGATACCTCACATCGATGTGCTTAGTCCTCTCATGGTGGACTTGATCCTTGGCCAAGCATATTGCACTCAAACTGTCGCAATACACCACTGCCTGATCATGATGTATACCAAGATCACCAACTAATCCCTTCAACCATATTCCCTCCTTAGCAGCTTCTGTCAATGCCATATACTCTGCCTCAGTGGTAGACAATGTTACCGCCGACTGCAAAGTTGCCTTCCAGCTCACTACAGAACTAGCAAGAGTGAATACATAACCGGTCATCGATCTCCTCGTGTTAACATCTCCAGCATAGTCCGAGTCAGAATACCCAGACACCAAGCACTCTTTATCACTCCCGAAGCTAATTCACCCATCAGATGTACCCTTAAGGTACCGGAAGATCCTCTTTACAGCCTGCCAATGCTCCCTCCCAGGTTGTATCATAAACCTGCTGACAACACTAACAGCATGTGCAAGATCAGGTCTAGTGCATACCATAGCGTACATCAAGCTACACACTGCACTAGCATATGGGACTCTCGACATGTACTCCTTCTCAGCCTCTGACTGCGGTGCATAAGCTGAGGATAGATGAACATTTGAAGCACTGGGAGTATTTAAGGGCTTTGCTGAAGACATGGCAAACCTCGACAGTATCTTCTGGATGTAGCTCTTCTGTGACAAGAAAATCTTCTTCTTCGACCTATCCCTGTAAATCTCCATACCCAAGATCTTCTGAGCAGCTCCCAAATCCTTCATCTCAAACTCAGCACTGAGAAGCCCCTTTAACTTCTGGATATAAGACTTTGACCTCGCAGCTATGAGCATATCATCCACATACAGAACAAGATAGATCATCGAACCATCCTCCGCCTTATTGTGATACACACAACAATCATATGGACTTCTGTTATAGACCAGCTCAAGCATGTAACTGTCAAATCTCTTGTACCACTGCCTGGAGACTGCTTAAGTCCATACAAGGACTTCTTCAGCTTACAAACATAGTCTTCTTTTCCCGGAACCTCGAATCCTTCTGGCTGAGTCATGTAAATTTCTTCCTCCAACTCTCCATGTAGGAAAGTTGTCTTCACGTCTAGCTGCTCGAGCTCCAAGTCATGATGTGCCACTATTGCTAGTAGCACTCTGATCGAAGTATGTCTGACCACTGGTGAGAAAATCTCATTGTAGTAAACTCCTTCCCTCTGCGAGAATTCTCGTGCAACCACCCGAGCTTTAAATTTCATGCCATCTTTAGAAGTGATTCCTTCTTTCTTCTTGTAGATCCACTTGTTTGTAACAATCTTCCTTCCCTGTGGTCATTTGACTAGCTCCCAAGTCTGATTCCTGTCATGGGATTCCATCTCATCTCCCACTGCGGCAAGCCACTGATCAGCTTCGCCACCCGAAACGGCTTCTCTATAGGACCGTGGCTCACCTGCATCCACTTCTTCAGTAACCTGAAATGAATACGCCACCATGTCCTCGAAACCATACCTCTGTGGAGGTACTCCTGCAGTCGCTCTCTTTGGTCTACCGGAAGCTATAGTCTGTTGAGCTCCTGCACTGGACTTTGAAATTTATGGCTCTGTAGAAACATCCTCATGTTGATCTTCTCCACCTTGTTGCTCAAACTCACTCTCATTGAGAGTTTGTAGCTCCACCTGCTTATCAACCTTCTCTAGGTAGCAGGAATGTTGATAAGCAGGAATGTTGTCCACTTTTGCCACGACAACTGAACCTTGTTTCTTCTGTTGCCCTCTTCTCTTGGGTCAGTTGTACTTCCAATGCCCCACTTCCTTACAGTTGTGACAAGCATCACCTGGCTGTGGACCATGATCCTTAGAATTCTTGTTCGAATTCCCTTTACCAGATTTCTTCTTTCCCTTTCCACCTGTAACAGTCAAACCCGATGCCTCACCACCTGTACCAGATCCGGACGCCTTATGCCTCATCTCTCTCGTATGAAGAGCAAACCTGACATCTTCCAACGACACGCTTTCTTTACCGACAATAAAAGAATCAACGAAATTCTCATATGAACTCGGCAAAGAAACCAGCAGGATTAGGGCAGCATCCTCGTCATCAACTTAAACATCTATATTACGCAGATCCAACAAAATAGAGTTAAGTTGTTCGAGATGTTCCCTCAAAGGCGTACCTTCTTGCATCCTCAAGCTGAACAACTGTTGCTTGAGATGCAGCTTGTTGGTTAAGGACTTCGTCATATACAGACTCTCCAACTTTAACCATAAGCCCGCGGCAGTCTTCTCAGCAGCGACTTCAATGATGACGTCGTCAGACAACGATAGCATGAAGGTCGAGTGGGCCTTCTCCTTCAGGGTATTCCAATCATCGTCATCGATCGCTGCCTTCTTCTGTTTCGAAGACAGCTGCCCCCACAGCCCTTGCTGTTTTAATAAAGCCTGCATCTTGATCTGCCATATAGCAAAACTGTTCTTCCCCGTGAACTTTTCGATCTTCATGTTCACCGACGTCATTCTTCTGCATCGAAAACCCTAGCCTGATTTCTAGCCGCGGCTCTGATACCACTTGTTATAAATGCGCTGCTACGAATCGGGAAATCGCCGGAATCAACAAAGTAAGAATACGAAAGCGAGAATCGAAAAACACAGACACACGATTTACGTGGTTCACTAACACGATGTGTGTTAGCTACGTCCACGGGTGAGAGAGAGCCAGTTTCACTATATCGAGGAGATTACAGATTACAGAGGAGTATGAGAAGTATTTATAGTACTTCTCCATGTGGGTCTAAACCTAATCCAATATGGCAAAGGAAACGGTTACAGACCAGGCCCAGAACCCGATTACCAGTCGTAGTGGCTGATAGTCCGATTCAAGTCACATCAACAGATGGCTTTACAAGCCACATTGAGCTTGGCCGGATTCGTCGATGAAAGCTTTGTGTCGACTATGAAATGAATTCTTTGCGGGATACATGAAAGATATCAAGTGGTCAATTGTCCTTTTTGTTATTTGTACTGGCTGTTGGGAGTTAGGAAAAAGACCCCTTATTTTGACTCTTGTGTAAGCTCCAAGTAGCAAAAGTACACAATGCAACACCACTAAGTAATACAAGTAGTTACTGTTGTATTTACTCAGTGAGTGATTAACCAATAACCATCCTTCTTCGTTCTGAAACACCTTGTGATGGGAATGGACGGTACGGTGCGAGAATGAGTATTTGTGTCCGTCAGTTGAGTATAATCAGTTTAAGTAATTTCTTTTTTTGTTTTCATCAAAATGGTTGAGGGAAACCTAGAATTGATGGCCGCCTCACCGTCGGATGGGACGCGGGCAGGCGAGGGCTCCTCATGGGCGAGCCTGTTCTAGGTGGTGCCGGAAAAACGTCTCACCTACAGGACAGCGGAGAAGATCAAAGACGGTTTTCGAATCCCGCATGCGATTAAGGAGAAGGGCCCTGAACGTTGGAAAGACTTGTTGGTGGGTCAATTCATCGGTAAACGTCCTCAGGTGGGGGAGCTACAGTCTTGGGCTAATCGATTATGGGGGAGAGACAGTGTGTTGCATCTTTCGTGATTCGGTCCTAAGCTTCTGGTTTTCCAATTTCCTTCGTCTTCGTCGTGTGATTGTGTTTTCAAGTCTGGTCCGTGGCATTTTATGGGAAATCTTGTCTTCTTCTGTAAATGGGAGATGGGGATACAACCGATTGTGCCAAGAGTGGAGACCCTGCCGATTTGGGTTAGAATTTGGAAATTACGCCTTGAGTATCTGGTCGGGATGGAATAGAGTGGGTTGCGAGCACGCTGGGTAAGCCTTTATGGACAGACCAGAAGACGAGATTTGGGGACCAGTTAGGGTTCTCTAAAGTCTGTGTGGAGCTATCAACTGACTGTGAGTTTCCTCGGCGTATCAGGTTGTATCCTGATAATGATCCGGACTTTGAAGTGGGGGTTGATTATTCGCACCTCCCTAAAGTCTGTTCCTCCTGTTGTATGTTTGGGCATAACTGTCAGCAAGAACCAAAGAAGCAGTGGAAGCTCAAAGAAGGGGCTGGGGCAGAAGTTGAGTGTACTGGTGAGGAGACACA